ATATGTTAACTAACTTGAATTTAAATAAAATCTAAAAAAACCCCAAACCAAAAGACTTCCAAAGATGCATTATCAATTTTAAAATATAAAAAATACAATTCAATATACATGTAGTTTTATATCATACTAGATGCTTTAATATCTCTTCGATGATTCAGAAGTGTCCTGGATCTTACAGAACACCAATGAGTTATGAATTATTCAGTAATTAATAAATTCTTTTTAATGTGGAATATGGAGTTTGTTACACTTTAAAAAATTAAAAGACACTATATAATCATTTAATATACAACCAATATTACTCATACAAAACAAAATAATCAAACAATAATGCTACATGACATTAATGTATATATATCAAATCATTCTCCTAAGTGAAAATATTTTTACACAACCAAAAATAGCATTCTAGAGTTAGCTGGAATGTTCTACAGACAAGGAAAAGAAAAACTCCTAGGGCCCTATCCCAAGAACTAAAAGAAAACAAAATACATAGGGTCTCTCAAAAGTCCAATGTTTTGGATACTGCTCTAAGAAATTTGATTATAATGCTCAGTTTGTGGCTAAAACAGGTATCCTTTTATAAGATAATGAACAGCAAGAGATAGATCTGCTTCTCGAAACATTGTAACATCCAAAATTGTTCAAATTTAATCAAACTGCTTTCCAAAAATGGAGAATTTTAATGGAAGGCAGGTATGAAAACCAAGTAATTTTGGAACATAACAATTCCTGAGGTTAGCTAGGAAGCCACAGGCGATATGCCACATTATGTGGCACAAAAAGACTTGAGACCTGTAGGGTCCCAGAGTTTGAGGAAAGAAAAAGAAAGTGGAGGGGGAGAGATAGAGATGGACAATCAAAAAATGACAAAAATATTTTGGCTATCCTCCCCCTTCCTCTGGACTCAAATATTAGAAAAGTAAGCACAAACAGGGTTCCCTCTACTCCTCCCATTTGCTCATAGAGGAAGCAGGCATTATGATACTAATAACAAGCAAGCACGAGCCACATACTATTAAGTCTGGAAGTGTTTTATGGCCTGCTTACATTTATCTTACTTAGCAAGAACAGACAATAAGAACAGAGTAAATGTGTCTCAAGCTTAAAGAAATGGTAGGCTTATTTCTTAAAATCTGAGACAAAGCTAAAATTTAACTTAATAGGCATTAACTAAAAAAATATCAATGTTACCTGTGTAAGGCAAAAAACTTATGTACCTAACTCTGTCTAGCCAGCTCTCTGAAGCAAAAGTAAATGTGAGGCTTTCAAAGATAATTGCTATAAAATCTCAAAATCCTAAGGCAGCAATGACCTTGTCTTCCTACATAAAAGAGGACATATTATGTACCCCTGATGAATCATTATCAAAATCAATTTTGATGATACAATGATCTTTTTTTTTTAATTTTTTTTTAAATTTTTTTTAAGATTTTATTTATTTATTTGAGAGAGAGAGAGCACAAGAGGGGAGAGCGGGAGAGGGAGAAGCAGACTCCCTGCCAAGCAGGGAGCCCGATGCGGGACTCGATCCCGGGACTCCAGGATCATGACCTGAGCCAAAGGCAGTCGCTTAACCAACTGAGCCACCCAGGCGCCCCGATACAATGATCTTTTACTAAATATTGTTTCCATAATCTTTGAGAAATTCTCGGTTTTCATGATGAATCTTATCACAATTGAATAAGAATGTAACTATCTATATTGTCCTTTTAACAACAGGACTGATAGACTTCTACAATAAAAAGCTACAACTCTCCCAAGACTGAATATAAAACCTGGGAAACAAGCATTTGCTACCAGAAATAAGACAGCAGCATGCTACAGGTCATATGTAATCACTACTAGTATGAAGAGGAAAGTCTTCAAGAAAAATTTTAGTCAAGAAGTACAAATGCTAGAGTGTACCAAATAGCCTCAGTGGTACTGAATTAAAAATTTATAAAATATATTTCAGTGAAAAAATTCTAGCTAATGATATAGAGCAGAATAGACTTCTTTCCATTTACCTAAATTTGAGCTGCATAAAGGTAATTTTCCTCCATATAACTACTTATGTACAGCTGGATATAATTAAGATTTGGTCCCATATTTGCAAAATAATACTGCTTTATGTAATACAAAAAAGGCATAGCTGTGGATTGTTCCTGTACATTTATTCTGGTACATCTCAGTAGTAATACTAATGAAGTTGATCCCTTCCTCAACACGAAAAGAGCTATTTGTCTGATTCTCCTACAGCATGTTGAAGGATGAGTTCTATAAGTAGAAATAAAAAGTGTAACTCAAGTTATGTAATAGATAATTTTAAAACTTTACCGTCTTGCTAGCAGTAAAGACATCTCACTATATTTTAAAATATACTTTAGAGTTTCAATGAATTTGTGATAAAATTGATGACCTTCATTTTAATTTAGTATCTCAGAAGAAATAGAGAAACATATTATCGTTGTAATAACAGATGGTTTATTACTACTCATGATTTGTTTTATTAAGGGACTGGATCCAACTACACATATCTGATAGAGATATAAAATACATCTGAATATGTAATAAAAATTATAGTTCTCCAAGGCTTTCATTATAGACACATGATTTAATAACATTGTCAGAAGAAAACATGATTATGCTAAGACAACTTAAAATTAAAACTGAGTCATCAATGTTTTAAAAACAGCTATCATTTTATTCTATACTACTATCATTTGTTATTTTTGAATACACTTGCTGATTAGTAAAAACTTTCGGTGACAAGAATTAGTGACATATCAAGTGCAGAAAGTTTTTAAATTCTATCTTCTACCAAGTCAGATAGACATAATTGGCAGTAATGTAGCTTATTCCTAAATTCAGCAGGCCAATGAGAGCCACCAGATAACACTCACAACTGGAAGAGGATCATAGTGATCACACCTTTATAGCAAATTTACAGAATATTAAGATTCAGGAGACAATAAACCTGATGATGCAAACAAACCACCAAGATGAAAGTATGCAAATGTATGTTGAACAGTATGATAGCGTGGAGAATGTAGACTGTAGGACAAAGTCAAATGAAAATATTTGAGAAATAAACACTTAATAACTTCTCTGCTTCAACCTTACTGTTTAACATTCCCTTTCTGCTAAAACAGAAATCACCAGAGTTTTCAATAAAACATCCCTCTGCAGCCTTCAGATTTAGTTACCACCTATTTCAAATTTCTCTGGATTTCAGTCTTCCCACAGTCACTTTCATAGAGTAAGTCTTCACATTCTGCATTAACAAAATCCTCTGACTACATGAAAATAAGATGTTCCCCTCACCTCCCACTAAAGAGTATACTTCGAGTTCACTCCACAATAATAAAATTTATATATATATAATTTAATAAAAGTATTTTTTAAAATATAAACTCAATGAGGACATCTTTGTTGTAGTAGGTAAACTACATGCAGTAGGCATGCAGTAGATAAAGACAGAATTTCATCAACAACACTGTTTGGCGTTTTTAACATCTCTAAAATATGGCTACATCTAGAGTGCCTGGGTGGCTCAGTCGTTAAGCGCCTGCCTTCAGCTCAGGTCATGATCCCAGAGTCCTGGGATCGAGCCCCGCATCGGGCTCCCTGCTCTGCGGGAAACCTGCTTCTCCCTCTCCCACTCCCCCTGCTTGTGTTCCCTCTCTCGCTGTCTCTGTCAAAAAAAACTCTTAAAAAAAAAAAATATGGCTACATCTTAAAATTGACAGTGAATCATAACTTAATTGGCAGAGCTTTTCTTGATGATACATACATAATGGTGCTTTTACAAATGCTGTTTCAGGTTAGATTAAATAGATTAACAACTTAAATTTAGTTGAACTGAATTAAACCAAGGTAAAGGTATATGGTCTGTTTACTATATTAACTCTCTGAAAACTGAAATTCATTTTTTTGATTCTTTTCTATGTCAGTATCTAAAAGCTTTTATTATTATACAGAATTAGTAGGTTATATCTTAATTTATCTTTAAAAACAACCAAAGTACTATGCCTTTTGACTGGGGTGCTTAATTTTTTCACATTTGAAGTAATTATTGATAGGAAAGGACTTACTACTGCCATTGTGCTAATTGTTTTCTTTCTTTTAGCATTTTTGTCCTCCTTCGTCCTTCCCTGATTTTTTTTTATGTAGTGACATACTCTGATTTCTTTCTCATTTCCTTTTGTGTATCTTCTGTAGGTATTTTCTTTGTGGTTACCATGGAGTTTACATAAAACATCTTAAAGTTATAATAACCTATTTTAAGCTGATAAATATTATATATAAAAACTATACTTCTACTCCTCCTCACATACACTTTGCTATTAATGTTATAATTTGTATCTTTTTATACTGTGTATTCATTAACATGTTCACAGGTAGTTATTTTTTATACTTTCATCTTTTTTAAGTTCTATACCAGAATTAAAAGTGATTTATATACCACCATTATAGTATTAAAATATTCTATATTTGTCTATATATTTACCTTTTCTAGCCTATTTCATATTTTCATATGCTGTCATGTTGCAGTTTAGCATCCTTTTCTTAATTTAGGCTTTGGAATCTAAAGATGACACTTATTTTATAGATGAAAATGGCCAAAAAATATGCATCCATGTTGTTTGGCAATTATAAATCAGAACTGAGGGGCACCTGTGTGGCTCGTCACTTGCACGGCTGACTCCAAATTTCGGCTCAGATCATGATCCCAGGGTCCTGGGAAAGAGCCCCACATTGGGCTCTGTGCTCAGCGGGGAATCTGCTTGAGGATTTTCTCTCTCTCCCTCTCTCTCTACAACCCCTCCCCCAACTCACATGCAACCATGCACGTGCATGCGCGCGCTCTCTCTCTCTCTCTCTAATAAATAAATCTTTTTAAAAATAAATAAATCAGAACTGAGCTTCTAAGACTTAATAGTATTGAAGGAGCTATGTTTCTGAAACCAATAAAGCAGTTTCAGCCCATTAAAATCTTCACCAATTTTAATACCTACCAGTTCCTTTGCTTAGATATGGAGGCTTAAAGAACTTCACAACACCATACACATTGACAATTGTACCACCCTTAAGTTGATTCAGGGGTGTATATATATAATGTGTTGCTGGAACCTAAGAAAAAGAAGACAGTGAATACATCAATACTAAGTATTTACATTTTAGAATAATTTCATGATTAAATTTTTAAATTAACAACCAATCTAATTGCATTTTTTTCCTTTTAAGTTTCTAAAAAGAGGATATAGCCTGAAAAAAAAAGGAAATGCAGAGCTTATAAAGAATACTATACAAACCAACCAGGTTTTCTTAGAAAGAATTCTGATGATAAATTATGTAATTTGTACACAATTCTAAGAAATGCAATTTAAGAGATTTTGGTTCTGGATTTTAACTTTAAGTAATATCCCTTCAAAATTTGTGGTATATATTTCTTTTTTTTTCTCCCTATATTACTATAAAGATTTTACCTAGGCCTAAAAAGCCAGGTTTTGATTGTAAATGGTATATACATTAAAAATGGTAAAAATAGAAAAGAAAAATTATCTGAAATAATTGTACATAAGTTTGGAAATAAAGGGGAAAGTGATTTACACAGACATGTCTGCATATTAGTCAAACAATCCTTGGGCGCCTGGGTGGCTCAGTTGGTTAAGCGACTGCCTTCGGCTCAGGTCATGATCCTGGAGTCCCAGGATCGAGTCCCGCATCAGTCTCCCTGCTTCTCCCTCTGCCCCTCCCCCCTCTCATGTGCTCTCTCTCATTCTCTCTCTCTCAAATAAATAAATAAAATCTTTAAAAAAAAAAAAACAATCCTTAAAAGGGTTCACACATCTGGCCCATCCATCCATCCCACCCACAACTGGAAATAAGGTTACTACCTACCACACTACGAGTTAAAACTTTAAAAATCAAATCAAAATGAGTTAATTGGCTTTTTCAAGGAAGCTGATACTTTAGTTCAAATATAAGAAAGGCAGTGCTTAGAAATCTTATCAAACCTCGATATAAAAAAAGTTGTAGCTCATAAATGATGAAAGAAAAATAATGGTCAGCATATGGGACAGAAAAGAAAGATATATGCTCAGCTGACAAATAACTAGATCCAAGACTAAAGTTATCTCCCTAATGTACAGATGAATGCGGCAGGCCAGCACAACTCAATGACACTAACCATTACGGTCATCCATGTAATGTACTTGTTAATTCATGAACAACAAACAACTAACTTCTTGATTATAATTTGACTTTCCATGTAAATAGACCAGTATATATGTGCGGATATTCCAAATAAAAGAACAACCAGGTATTAATTACTTGGTAAATATATATTTACATTTAATACATTTATAATAAATTTAACATTATTAAAGGTAGAGATTTTGTTTTCTCATTGTATTACTATTTTAAAATTAGACTATAAGTGGATCTCATATATATATATATGGGATGCATACATATATATGTATGTACATATATGTGTGTATCTTTATGTGTGTGTGGGGGGTGAGTATTTTAAGTTAAATTGAATATCATCTTACCAAAGACATTGATTCTGCAGAAAAATCCCTTACAGATTTAACATAAACCTGAAAACAAAAAAAGAGGATTTACTTGTATACAAACAACCTCCAATGTGATTACAGACCTTTAACTGCACCAAAGCTACACACTTAACTGTGTAATATTCAAATTCACTAGAATGGCACAAAATTATGGCTTACATATTAAGACTAACAGGTGCAAAACTGTTTAAGTTTCAGCATAATCCATTAGTTTCACAATATCACAGGACTACCCCTAGCCCATATAAGGCCCTTGTGGATACTACAGAAAAACAGGCAGACAGTGGCCTGCAACCACAGCACTTGGCCCAACTCTACTTCTCTGACAGCCTTGACCAAACTGGTGGTCTCCATGTGTGCACATGTGTGCACACGCACACACACACAGGGCTGTGGGAGGAGGGGTAAAGTGGGAGGCAGAGAATGATCATCTCTGTAAAAAATAAAAGAGAATGAAATCAGTTTTACCTAAAAAAGGGCACTTGATCAATTTAAAGTGAAATCAAGCAGACCATCAAAAGGGGCTGATGGTGTAAGAGCAAAGAATGAGATCAGGTCTAGAGTACCTATAAAGTTTTAAAAATTCTATTAATAATTATTTTTAAGGGATCTTTCTTTTCTACCTGGAGTCATTCTAAACATAAAGCCAAGAAAAGAATTTTTGCTTTAAACTTAAAATATTTAATTAAAATAATCCAGTCAGACTAAATAGTTTATCTGCAGATTTATAGATATACTGCCCCTTTTCCATCCCTACCTTAGAGCTCATTAAAACCACAAATGATTGGACTAAAAGTTACACACTTACATAAACAGTTGATCTGAAGTCCTCAAATGCTTTCAAAAATAAGCAATGTTTACCATCTCTGCTTGTAGATGAAGATGCTGACAAGACAGTAAATCCAGCTACTGCAATGGTATCCTACATAGGAAAAAATGGTATTAAATCATCAAAATATCTGTAATTCTGAATGTCATATAAATTCTTATATTATTATTTAAAAACAGGAGTAATTTCCATAAAATGGAAAACTGGTTAGCCTAAATTTATTTAATGCTTCCTGAATATAAGATTGAGACTACTACTTCCACGAAAAGGACATCAACAATGTAGCCCTAGACAAGTATAATGTCTCACTTCACTGACCAGGAAATCACTAACTAAATCACTCAAAAATTTTTATTTATTTAGTGGGAGCTCAAAAATCAATGTTTATCTCAATTTATATGAATAAGTTTGCAGAAATAAACAATGAGATACCAGATAACCCAAGAGTATTAAGAATGAAATTTAAGGGCGCCTGGGTGGCTCAGTTGGTTAAGCGACTGCCTTCGGCTCAGGTCATGATCCTGGAGTCCCTGGATCAAGTCCTGCATCAGGCTCCCTGCTCGGCAGGGAGTCTGCTTCTCCCTCTGACCCTCCTCCCTCTCATGCTCTCTGTCTCTCATTCTCTCTCTCTCAAATAAATAAATAAAATCTTTAAAAAAAAAAAGATATTTAAATGAAACTAAATGTCAGAGTTGAGAAACTACATTGAGAAAGACATGCCATTAGTATAAAATTCCATATTGTCACAAAGCTAATACTTGTCCATATAAATCCAGGGTATGAGACATAAATAAGAAATTTCCATTGACATACTAATAAGAAAAAAATATTTTCTATCTACTTAGGTTTATAATAGTGATAAGAAGCCAGTCCCCATTTATTCTTGCTTCTCTCATTCTTTAGTTGAATCTCCTTTTCTTAATTTCCAAGTACCGGAACATACACATTCAGCAAATTTTGTCTTGCTGCACTATACATATATAATATGTAATAATATATACTATATATATAAAATTATCCTACTCTTCTAATTTTTTTTATTTTTATTTTTTAAGATTTTATTTATCAGAGAGAGAGAGACAGAGGCAGGCAGAGAAGCAGGCTCCTTGCTGAGCAAGGAGCCCAATGTTGGACTCGATCCCAGGACCCTGGGATCATGACCTGAGCCAAAGGTAGACACTTTACTGACTGAGCCACCCAGGCATCCCCCTACTCTTCTAATTTTAATACCAAAATCTTAAGATACATAAAAATTCCTGGGCTTTAGGCAGCTTCCTTCAATAATCCTAACTTCTACGAAACAGAAGCCTCCCGCGTTACTGACTTTTGCTTTGCACATGCGAGAAAGGGTCTGGTGTCAATCCACATTTAGATCCATTAAACAAGGCTGTGAATACCTTGTAGGCAGGGGTCACGTCTCATGTCTTTTTTTTTTTTTTTTTTAAGATTTTATTTATTTATTTGACAGAGAAAGAGCGTGTGCGCACACAAGCTGGGGAGCGGCAGACAGAGGGAGAAGCAGACTCCCCACTGAGCAAGGAGCCCAACATGGGACTCGACCCCAGGACCTTGGAATCATGACCTGAGCTGAAGGGAGACACTTAACCAACTGAGCCACCCAGGCATCCCTAGGCAGTTTTAAAGGGGAATAAAATAAATAGTAAGACTGCTTCTGGAATAAATTACTCTTAAAACTGAAAAATAATGCTTTCAACTGACCAAAAATTCTGATTTAAATGAAAACGAGATTTTAGTCAAAGATTTAAAGTTGTTTAATCAAACTAACAGGGGAAGATAAACAGAAGTAGGGAAGTTTATCAGTTCTATATTCTCTTAAAAGCACAAAAAAAATAACCTATCTCATTTTCTATTTTACTTAAAAATGTCTTAAATATTATATGGAAAGAATACACAAAATGCAAGTGTTGTGCAGATGAACATTTTTCTATTTTTCTTTATAATCTAAACTTAAGTATTTATTTTATGATGGAGAAAACATTTTAAATAGAAAAAAATCACTAAAAGGAGGACATCAGCATTCATAAGAAAAATTTTTTCAAAAGTCTAATTCTATTTTAATATTAGCAATACAATTCAGTAAAACGTTATAATAAAACTTTTCCTCTAGCACAAATTTGACAACATAGAAATAACAACCAAAAATATTTACAAAAACGAATGTTTAATTTATTATATTTCTAAATATGAACTTACATTTGAATATACCTATATAAATTGCATGAAAGGCCCTCAGTGATCCCATCCCAATCAACCTGGCCTGTTTTATTTCCATATACGTCTATTCAATACTATAAAAATCAGATCCTCTTATATTCGTAGTGCTTTTCCACATATATTCTTTGCTTATTCTGAGCCCCCACTAGTAAGAGCATTTTTCTCTTTTGCATATTATCTGATCCTATCTATCTTTTAAAACCTGGACTGTAACTGCTTTTCTTATGAGGTCTATCTTAGATTGTCTCTCTCTGAGAAAAATAATTCTTCCTTCCTCTGAACTCTCCTATGCAGTATTTTAATATTTTTCATTTGTGTGTTATTTACAAGTGCTTCTTAATGTTTTTAATGCTCTTAGAAGTCTATAAGATTCCTGGGACTAAGAATGTCTTATCTACCTTTATATCCCATAAAAGAGACAGTAAGGGGCTTCTGTTCATAGTTACAAGTATACGTTGAATAAATTAATACTGGTAAAATTAAAGTACAAACCTAAACAGAAGAGAGAAAAAAATGGCTCTTAGAATCCAATTACCATGAATTTACAAATTGTAATAGCTTTTAAATTAATTCAAATGCACAGAGGATAAGAAAGATAAACATATAATAGGCAGTATTAGTTTATATAAACACTCATTAGACTGAGTTGAAAATGAAATTTAATATGCATTGTTCTAAGTTCTAAGCTTCTGAAAAGAGCATACTGAAGCCATTCAAACAAGAATAGGAATTACACAGTTGAGTGCTAAGAATGCATTCTGATATACAGAGTAGGTATTTATTTCAATCTGCTGAAAAGAAGTATTAGGAAACCGGCCTGAGAGAATACCATATTACTAAAAGTGATAAGGCTTTATCAATATCTGTGCAGGAATGTTCTAAAAATAAAAACACATTTGGTATACCTGAAATCTTTGAACTAACTCAGGATACCAGATATCAGCAAGTGGGTCATTCTCCTTTTGTGTCATTTTTCTGTCACAGTGTCTTAAAAGGAGTGAGACATTGTCATTAAACAATTTCCTTTTTGGTTTAGCCAACAGGAATATTTCTACCACAAACCAGTTTCAGAGAAAAATCAACGAAAACAGCACAGGTCTTTTTAACATAAAGAAGTGTTCTTAAAAATCAATAACAAAAAGGAAAAAAAAAAGCAGACAACTTATTTGCATATTAACAAATGTCATTTTTACATACTAATATCTTATAATGTAGAACATAATCAGTGGTGGAACAGGAAACAAATCAATATGTGACTAAAAAAATGTAAACTACAAGACTAGCATATTAACTTGCTAATTTTTAATTGATATTGTAACCAAAATTCTCAAGTTGTTGCACTTTTAGTAAGCAGGAAAAGGACACAGAAAATATGAAAAAACTGATAATCCAAAAAGAAAAACATTTATCTGACTTTAACAGGCATTAAGTAATTTTTACTATACTGACCTTGCAAATCCTGTTATCATATTTTAAAACACCAATTAAGAGTGAAAGACTGCAGGGAGAAGCCAGGAATCTGATGTCACTGGTAACAAAGTGACTGAGAGAAAATGTTTCTCTAATATAAAGAATGTATTTTATGAGTGTTAACATCAATTTGGTCATGGAATTTAATTGGAAGTAATATAAATAATATTAGCATAAAATCCAAAATCTTTAAATGGTATACAAGTCACTATATGATCTGATGCCCACCACCTCACCAGCTACCTGCTATGTGACACACCCTGGAATAGTGCCTTTTGTAATTTTTAGCATTCCAGGCTCCTCAATCAGGGCCTTTGTATATGTTGTTCTCTTTTACTAATCAATCCACTCTCCCAGTACCCATCTTCATTCTTTCTGCTACTTTTCTGATTCTACTACTCAATCTCAGTCATATCACATCTGGCTAGAGTAATTAATTATGTAATAGTTGTTTAATTCCCTCTGCTCCACTGAGCACTGTCCCATGATGGCAAGGTCCATTACCCTCTTATTCAGGACATCCAGCACAGAAAACCAAAACATTCAACAAGTATCTGGACAATTAAATGAATATGTGAATATTATATATACATATATATAATATATAAAATACCTTCATTAAATCTTAACTAAACTATACAAGTACTACAAAACTTATTTCAAAGAATCTTAGCATTTCAGAACTGAAAACAGGACTTTAGAGATCACATAATCAAACACCTTCATTTTTCAGATAAGAAAATAAGGGCGAGAGAGGGTAAATGAACAGTCTAAGGTCACATTCAGCTAATTAGTTGTAGATCAAGACAAGAATCAAGATCTCCTAATTTCTAAGACAGGCACTACTCTACAACATCTTTCAGAACTAATCTCACAAGGAAGGAAAACAATGTATTGACAAATGTCTGTAATTCTGATGGTTTTGTGATCAAATATTTTTTAAACTTTCAAAATACTTTGAAAGAGTCTTTCCCCATATTTTATGTCCATTTATTAAATGTTAAATCTTACTTTAAAGGAAAGCTAAAACTGAAAAAAGTGTCTCATACGGAAAAAGGTTCAATTACAGGATATATATTCCTGTAAAATGTATCATTAGTCTAGCAAAGCAAGGATTAAAATTTTGTTAAAATTCATTTTAATGTTTAGGATTTTTTTTTTTTTTTTTTTGGTAATCAAATGTGGAGCTAACCTTAACGGAATAAGCCAGTGACAGAGAAAGGTTTAAGAATTGAATTAGAAAATCCATTCTTCTATATAAAAAGTTTTACCTCTGACTTTCAGTAATTTTTAACCTTACTACTATAAACTCTAAAATAAATAGCCTATTTAGACCTCCCCAATGATCAGCATTCATGGATTTTAAACCCAGAAAGATTTTTAATTGT